CGACCCCGTAGGCTCAGGCAATCCACTCACCTCGGCCTCCCAAAGTCCTGGGATGACAGACTGAGCCACTGAGCCTGGCCCCTCTTCCCCCTCTAAATGGCCTCTGCCCTTTCGCTATTTCCTTTGACTTTCAGCATCAGTGCCGTTTATGTGCAGCGATCCACCACCCTCACCCCAGCTCAAGTTAAAAGCAAGATTAAGGCCAGGCTCGGTGGCTCAGCCTATAATCCCAGCGCTTTGGGAGGCTGAGGTGAGTGGATTGCCTGAGCCCGCGGGTTCGAGACCCCTGGGCAACTTGGCGAGACCTCATCTCCACAATAAATCAAAAAACGAGCCGGGCGTGGTAGCGCGCGCCTGTAGTCCCAGCTACTTGGAAGGCTGAGGCGGAAGGATCGCTGGAGCCCGGCAGGGCGAGGCTGCGGTGGCCGGGAGCGGCCACTGCACTCCAGTCTGGGTGACGGAGTGAGACTCCAACTCAAAAAAAAAACCAAGATTAATTAGTTCCACCTTCCCCACCCTACCCATCCAGTGTCCTGACATCCCAACTTGTGCCACATCGCAACGGCTCCATAATCTGGTCTCCAAGGTGAGTCGTTCAGTGGACTCTGGGTCCACCCTTCTGGTTGTTGGTGGAAATGGCCTGAAATTGTAGCTGAAAGCCTCGCCCAAACACTGGGGGAGCTTCTAGGCAGTCTCATCTTCTTCCTCCTTGTTTCATGAAGCAGGCCAGCTGCTTCTTCGCCCTCCTCTTTCTGCCTTCTCCACTCGGAACTATGACTTCTGCCGTCCGCCACCTCTCCCACAAAGTTGTTCCCTCTCTTCTGAGTCCGTTTGGAGCTGGGGTGCATTCCCGTCTCTCCTCAGGGCTGGAACCCTGCTCTGCCCCCCGGGCCCATCTGCAGCCAGACACCAGCATGACCTCATTTCTTTCTTTTTTTTTTGATATGGAGTCTCACTATGCACCCAGACTGGAGTGCAGTGGCATGCTCCCGGCCACCGCAGCCTCGACCTGCTGGGCTC